TGTACAGTATAGTCCATAAAATGTAAAAGTCCATTGTTAACAAAGTAAGGCTGAGCCCTTAGAAACTGGTCATAAAAGCAATTCCCACTGTGTGGGATGTGGTTTGTAAAGCCTTTACCCAGCTTGGGGCTGACCCTGACCTTGATCTTGGTGCAGCGTCACAGGAAAAGTCTCCACGTGAGAATTCCCAGTTGCTGGTGTGCGTGAGGAGCATCCGAGCTCTCCTCCGCCTCCTGTCCCTTTTCAGCCCAGTGAATGTTCCTGTTTTTTCTCCCTGGGAAGGAGCAGAGTTCAGTCTCCATGTGGCCGAGGAAATCTTTGTGCAGTCCTGCGGTGTCTCGGTCTTGCCCAGGACACTGATGATCTTTGGGATTTGGCTCAAGACATCAGTCCAGCTTTGGGGGAACAGTTTATTGTGTTGGGGAACTGTCTGTCCCTGCAAAATACAGATTTGTGGTGATAATCAGAAATGTTGAGCCACTGGGGTTGTTTCTCGGCGGTACGTGCTCAAGCATCTCTGCAGGGTTGCCTATAAATTCATATGTCAATACAAACCCTAAGTGCTCTGCTCTGAGAGGCTCCATGTTCCTCGTGGAATATTGTAAACCCTTTTCCGGTTGAAGAAATTACTTCAGTTGCTTTATTATTTTTTTTTTTCTATCACGTTAATGCTGCTGTGCAACAGACTGATGTCAGTCTTCAGCCCCCAGTGATTTTTTGGAACATACAGCACAGCAAAATAGACATAGGTTATGGGTCTAAGTATGGAGCCTCCTTCTCAACATCAAAAGGTTATTTCTTTGAATTAAAAAAAAAAAAGGCCTTGATGATATTTTACCACAGTTGCAGACATTTTACCAAAAAAAAGTCTTTTTTCCCCCTTTAATCCCTCAGAATCTCAGGAAAGCCTGGAGAGGTCTGAGAAGCGGAGGGAAAGATGGGAACAGAAGCAGCACAGGAAGAGAAGAATAAAGCAGCGCTCCATCAGCAAGGAGAAGTGGGTGGAAACGCTAGTGGTGGCAGACACCAAGATGATAGAATACCACGGGAGTGAGAACATAGAGAAGTACGTGCTGACCGTGATGAACATGGTGAGTCCTGGTCCTCTCAACAGCAGAGCTGCCAGGTCCCTGGGGACATGGCTATGAGACATAAAGACCACTGGCCTTGCCATGACTCATCCCTGGTGGGACCTCAGCAAACCTCTCACCAGACAGGTTGTTCCCATGCACATGTTGGCTTTTCTGCATTGCTCAGTGCTCCATCTGTCACGGGAGGACGGGTCACTGTGAGCAAGCCCAAGGCCAGAATCTCCGTGCAGGCAGGAGCAGCTCAGCCTGCAGTGGTTTCAGCTTCCCCATGGGCTCAAGGGCTGTTCCCTTCTCCTTCCCACCATGGGAATGGATAACGTGGCCTCCCAGGGAGATAACCCAAGGGCTGCTCCTCCTGCACCCCTGCTCCAGGGAAGGGAGGCGGTGGGTGCTGCCTACCGTCTTGGCACTGCCACCATGGCTCTCCCCAGGCAGGTGTGCAGGCAGCTTGGGCACGGGGGTGCAGCTGAAGCTGAAACCACCCCGAAGCCTGCATGAGGGCCACCCACCACCCTTTGCGTGATAACGAAACCTCCTCAGAGGATGAGAGACCCACAGGGAACTGGGAGCTTTGGAACAGACTCCCTCGAAATTAGGGCTGGCCGTGCCCACAGAGGGAGCGCTCCGGGGCAGCTACCATCAGACCCAATGCCAGCACTAGCCTGGTTAGCAGGAGAGATGTGAATGGCTTTCCTGGGAAGGTGCCACTGAAGACAGTTAAGGGAAGGAGCACCAGATTGTGGTAGTCTCCACTGGGAATCTGGGGGGGGTTTGCTGGTGCCATAAAACAAGCAGGTAAGTCAGCATGAGTTGGTTTAGTCTGTTCACTCTTCTGCTGCCGTGGTAGCACCTATTTGCATTTCAGAAGAGGGCTTTGGTTGATGGCCAGAAAAGAGGGTGGGATTGGGCAGAGGACCTCACGGTAACATCCCTGGGGTTTTGGGGGTTGGTGAAGGCACCCAGAGAGCACAGGCTTCCTTTGAGATGTTAAACACATCTATTAGGAGTGAAAGCAGAGGTGTTCCCCCGGGCGTTTCTGGTTGAGTTTCAACGTGCTACACAGATTACATCAATATTAAATGGATAGCATCGCACTCCGAATACTTTAGTCCAGGTCTGCATCTGGTCTTGTCTTTCATTTTGGGGAATTCCCCGAGATGTTGTCAACAACCTTCAGTAGCTTTCCCTAGAGTTCATGTTCCCCTGCAGATGTACTTATCAGCAGCAGCGTCACAGGGCAAGGTCTTTCTTTTGGGCTTTATTTCTTTGGCTTTTGTGCCTTGCAGGTGGCGGGTCTGTTCCACCACGCCAGCATTGGGAACCCCATCAACATTGCGATAGTGCGACTCATCCTGCTGGAGGATGAAGAGGTAAAAAGAAAACAGGGTGACTCACCCTCCCGTCCTGGCAGCCAGGCTGGGATACATGGGGAGCTGGCCTTGAAAGTCTGTAAGCTCTCTCTTGTGCCATCTTCATGGCCTGGATGAATTTGCGTAAGACAAATGCAGGTGTCCGTGCCTTGCTTCCTTGTCTTCTGCGTGGGCTGCAGCCCTGGTAAAGTCAGGGGGACGGCATGGTCAGAGGAGCTGCAGAGTCTGATTCTTATAATAATTTATGATAACTCAGAATCACTGCCGGTAGCGGAGGGCTGTGAATCACTGGTTGTTTGTGCTCCCAGCTGCAGTGGTGGCTCTCAGGGAGCCTGACGCCGCTCAGACGGACTCTCCAGCTGCGTCCTTCGCCATCAGCCAGGACGGGATATTTTCCCGCAGTGTTTCTTAACCCCCATTACCAGATGATTTAATGTTTTGGTTGAATCACAGATGAAAAGAAAGCAGAAAAGGACTATATTCCCACCCAGCCTACAACCTATAAATATGGAGCAATTCCATCTGGATGGCAGTTACTCCCGATTCCACTCTGATATATCTGAGATCAGACCCCTGCCCACTGCATCCTAAAAACCAAACAGATCCGGCAGCAATATGACAGCAGACTTTTAATTATGTTGGCAGGAGGATCTGAAAATCTCCCACCATGCAGACAACACCTTGAAAAGCTTTTGCAAATGGCAGAAGAGCATCAACGTTAAAGGAGATTCCCATCCCCTGCATCATGACGTCGCAGTCCTGCTCACAAGGTATTGTGCCCATGTGCTAATTTTATGCTGTAGGTGCTACGATGGCAGCTAGAAACACCTCTGCCAGCTGCAGGCAGGTGGGGAGACAGGCAGCCAGAGGAACTTCTCAGTGGGAGCTGTTGAAACCTCACTCTCCATGCCGGAGCCCTGCCTGGACACCCGCACATAAGATATGTAACGTGAAATCTGAAGATAACCTGATCCTAATGGCTGGAACTGGTCTCAAATCTCAGGCTGAAACCTGAGCTCCCAGTTGACTAGCAGTTGAGGTTTCCAAACCACGTTTTCACCATGGCCCTATTGCCAAGCCCCAGAATGGCTGGATCCTCCCAGGAGATAGATGTACACAGGGATTAACTCTCCTTTTTCCCTTGGAGGCTAATGCTGGGGTTGGCAGAGGAGCCTCTGAGAAGGCCCCTGACCTCCCTTGAAGCTCGCAGGAATTCATGCCTCTGGCCAAGTTTATACACTTCGCAGTCAAAACGCAGTTTGATGGTTTCAGGCTGCAGCAGCTTGGCTGTTGGCGGTATCATGGTGGTTTGTGTGATGATTCACAACCCACAACAGTTTTATCTTCTTTAGGAAGTTTGCTGTGTAGCAGAAATAAGGCACTTAAGGCCGTGTACTTCGATGGAGTTGTTCATCCTGGGTGGCTGGAGCTCCTCTGCCCTGGACCACAGCACCCCCGGGATGTGCTTCCCCAAGCAACGTAGTAATTACTTAATTATTCCCAGCATCAGCTTTATTTATACAATGGAATAAACGTAGCCAGGCTGGCTAGCAGTTCCCATTAATCAGGCTTAATAATAAGCTGGGGATACCGGGAGAGTAAAGGGGAAAGTAAAGGTTGTAAATCTTTCTGTTGCGGAAAGACGTTGGATGTCTCCATTCTCGCTTCTGTTTGGCTGGTGTCCGCGTGTCTTCCTCTGTGGGCTGGGACGTGTCCTGTGCTCCTTCCCATGCCTCGCGTTGGGTCCTGCCACTTTCAAACCCCGTCTTTGCTCTGTGTCTGTGTGTTCGTTGTCTCCATCGCCCAAGGAAGGACATCTGCGCAGCGATGAACAGACCCTGCGAGACCCTGGGTCTGTCCCATGTGGCGGGGATGTGCCAGCCCCACAGGAGCTGCAACATCAATGAGGACACAGGACTGCCCCTGGCCTTCACCGTGGCTCATGAGCTCGGACACAGGTACCACTGGCTTCCTGCTCCTCTCCTCTGACGTCTGTCCTCTGCGCTGCTCAGTCAGGGCTTGAGAAGGCACGGGTGGAAGTTGGGAGAAGATTGCCGGGCGGTTCCTCACTGGTCCAAACCTTCGTCTGCTTCCAGGGGAATTTACCCTGGGAGTTTCTTTTCAGAGTTAAGTTTTTGGTTGCCCCAGGGTCAATGAAAATGACATAATCCAAGGCAACCTGGACAAATTGCATTTGTATATTATCCTGTGTTGCTGATGCTGAAGGTTTTGGAGAAGACAGTTGCCCATTAAGAAGTTTTAAAATAGGGTCTGCGTATAGAACCAGTGACAGAATTTTGCTTGCCCTAATTTCAATTAAATTTTGACAAGATCACTTGAACATTATTGTTCATAATAGATATCTTTGTATGGTAAAAACACACACCCAGTAAGTTTAATTAACTTGATCTTGTTCGATAGTCTCATTACTTTTTTATTGGCTGAGTTTTCAGTAAGAAAGCTGAAATAAAAGCATGGGACAAAGTTCAGGGCAGTGTCCCTGGTATCACTAAAATGACCCACAGGGCTAGATCCCCCGATGCCTGTTAATGAGCGAGTCCCCGCGGAGCTGGGACGGTTTGCGATGTCCGGCGTCGCGTGTCGTTGTGCTGGAAAGCAGAGAGGCTGCGCGGTTGTAGCGACGTGCGGCTCACCTCTCCTTTGTGGGACTGTGCTCTTACACAGTTTTGGGATTCAGCATGATGGAAGCAGCAATGACTGTGAGCCAGTTGGGAAAAGACCTTTCATCATGTCTCCACAGCTCCTGTATGACACGTCCCCACTCACCTGGTCCCGCTGCAGCCGGGAGTACATCACACGATTCCTCGAGTAAGTCCTCCCTTCCTGCTCTTCCTCACTCGCGGCGCGCTGGGGGTGGCTCAGGGCTTGGGTCTGCAGCCGGGGACTGACCCAGCCAATTGCGCTCAGAAGTCAGCCCCGGGGCATGTGGGGATGCTTTTATCCCACTCGGTTGCCTCCATCCTTGCTGTGAAGGATGGGAGTTTGAACACAAAAGCAGCACGAGCGTTTGGGCGGTGGCACAGGGGTTGTGGCTTGAACAAATAAGGCCGGAGTGGTTTTCTTCGAGGCTCTGTGCAGTTTTCTTCAGTGCTCTGCACGGGGCAGATGATGTTTGCCTGTAGGCAGGAGGCATCGTGTGAGGAAATGAGACCGAGCCAAATTCTTCCATGCATTTGTTTATTTTTAGCACCCCATGGCTGATTTTTCAGCCTGTTGTTATTAAGTTCCTAGTAACGTGGCCCAGTTTGTCAGCCAGTGGCTTGCACTGGAGAAACATTTTCCTTCCTTGCTACGGGAAGGTTAGAAAACAGTGAGAGCATCAGCAAGAAACGGCGACGGGGAGACCTGGGTGAGGGACCGGCAGTTACATGGCGGGGAGGCTGCCTGGGGCTGAGCTCCCTTTTCTAAATCCCAGCCTGGAACATGTGGGCTTGGCCCCCACACAGGGTGAATTATTGTTGATTTACGACTTTTGGTGGAATGGAGCTTTCTCGTATCTGCAGCGTTCTTGGCTCTCTGCTTTTAACCTTCACTTTCGGATTAGGAATTTCCTGCTTGCAGTGACCTTGGGCTGCTACGAGCTGCAACGGGGAAGAAACAGAGCAGCTGGATGCTTCTCCAGTTGGGTTTTGGTCTCTGTGCTCCCCCCAGAAGGGGCAGCTCTTCCTTAAGAGCGGAGCAGAGCCCGGCAGGCGTCTTTCACCGGCTGCGACATCCCCCAGGCGAGGGAGAGGCCCGTTGCCAGAACAGACATGAGTGCATTATAATACGATGTTGGCAGGAGAACGGGAAGGAGTGAGCCAGAAAATGAGACCCTGCTGACCTGGGGTTGCTGGGTGTGCTTGGAACAGACCTCATGTTTTAAAAAAAAAGCACTCTCGGATGATGATGATTATTTTACAAAAGATTATTATTTTACAAATGCTGCCGAACATTTAATCATCTGAAAATGATTCCCGTCATCGACAGCGGCACGGCCCCGGTGCTGCGGTTCAGGTCCTGGGTGCAGCCAGGGCTGGGCAACCCTCTTGGTGAGGCTGTGGGTTGGGGTCCGCTTGGACACCCAGGGGCGATGGAAGAGGTCGCCTCCCTGCTGTGGCGGTGGTGTCCCCCAAGGGAATGAGCATCCCTTGTTCAGGCTAACGAGGGAGGCCGGTGCAGGGTGGGTGGTGATGTTCCTGTGGCGGAGGGACCGCTCTGCTGCTCCCCGCTCTGAACCTGGACAAGCCCTTTTCGGCGTTCTGTGATTTTCCCCTCTAACCCTCGGAGGAGTTGGAAGATGCTGTAAGGCTCTTTGCTCTCCACCCCTCACTGTGACATGAGCTCTTTCCCAGTCCAGCTGGTGGAATACCCTTGTAAAACAGGGTCCAGTATCTCGTGGATGCCCTGCCTGCACCACGAGCACACGATGGGGTGGAGCACCCTCCCTCCATCTCAGCAGCAGCCCTGGCACAGCTGCAGGTTGTCTCGTCTCCCATCAGTCTTTTCTCTAGATCAGACAACCAGTTTTTCAGCCTCCTTGCACAGTGCTGGAGGTCTTCCTCCATCACCCTCCCATGGGCTCCTTCCAGCCGATCCCCACCTTCCTGGAGCCTTGGGACAGCTGGTCTTCCCCTGCCTTTGCAGACCTGCTCCGCCAGCAGCACACAGCCCTGCCTGCTGCATCACTCCTCTGCCAGTTCTGCCAGATCCCCTGTTTGTGCAGCTGATTCTTCCCAAGCTCCAATCCTTGCCTTTGTTTTTATTGAATTCCGTCCTGGTTTTTTGGATCCTTCCTCCAGTTCTCCGAGAGCTTTTGGAATTTTAATCCTGCTCTCAAATGTATCTGCAGATCCTCCCAGCCTGCTCGCATATGGGGATTTAATCATCATACCATCTACTCCATCATCCAGCTCATTAACGAATGGACTGAAACAGGCAGACGCAGCGCAGACCTCTGTGCATTTTTACTGCAGAGTGTAAAAGTGTATGGTTTATTGCATATCCTTGCAAAGCCAGAGGGAAGCTCATGCCAATTTTTGCTGGCTCAATAATGTGTTTTGGCCAATTGAAGAGACCAGTAGGATGACTGTAAAATATTTAATGAAGAAATAGATTTTGAACATAGTCCTGGAATGCTGACAGCAAATCTAAATCACCCCCCATACTGGGACAGAGACCTCTCCCATAAGCTGGGGCAAGACAGAAAGTGCCTCGAGCAGATCAGAGAGTGAGGAGGGTTGGGGGTGGTTTTGGGGTGACATGCCAGGCCACATGTGCCGGTACCTGAATAGGCAGTTGGTGAACTAGTCCAGAGGAGCACCAGTATCATGCATGTAGCTCATGCAGGAGCCCAGTGCTTAAGCCTGGACTTTCCCCAGTAAAAGTATCATTTTTTCCATTTTTAAAGAAAATACTCTTTTTAAGTGTTTTCCACCAGCAGATAAAGAAAATACCCCTGGAGGTGCAATGCAGTGACCTCTCTGTATGCCTGAAACAGGCTGCACCGTGATACTGTGTCCAGCTGCCTATTCCACACTTAATTCATCCCAGCTCAGCCCTGCATTGCTTGCAGTGATCCTTCCCTCCCCGCTGGGCTGGGAGAGGCAGGATGCTCCTGCTGTTGTGGACTTGGGAACAGAGACTTTCGAGCCCATGGGCTGCTGAAAGCAACCTGTTTACTGATTTTTCCAATAGGGAAGCTGCTTATAAAAATATATATATACATGGTATCTTAAGGGACTGTCTCCAGCCAAGCGAGCTGTCCAGTGTGGACCTCACTGGGGTGGGGTGGGAAAGGGAGGAAGGGGTGCCGGTTCTGCCAGGCATCGCCCTGTGGCACTGCCAGCACCCTAAAGCAGGAGCTCTCCCATGGTTCTGGCCCTTGTTTTTGTGTTGCTGGTTTGGGTTAAAAAGGAATCTTGTTTCAAGTTAATTTAGACCTGTTCCCAATCACAACAAGCCAAAGTCATCTAATCTGCTGAGAAACCCTTGCCAGAGACTTTGCCTTGCTGGAAACAAGTTTATTTAAATCAACACTAAAAGCTAAACTAGTGACAATTTCTTGTGTGTTTGTGAAGTATCGTAGCAAAAGCACTCAGAGCAGAGAGAGGCGGCCAGGAACGTCCCTCGCGGCTCCCACAGCCTGGCTGCCTGCCACCTTGATGGCTCTGTTTTAATATCTCTTTTCTAAAGACGTCCTGTCCAGCACAGTTTGAGCACTGTTTGTAGCGGCAAATATGAGGGTGAGTGCATTTTGCTGCTGACAATCTATTTTATTTCTATTAGCAGGGCATTGACACACGGGTTGTGGTGTCCACAGGGACGTTTCTGGGGTCAGCGTGATGTACGAACGCAGGGACAGCATCTGTTTCTTGGCAATGAAATGTTTGCTCAATGAAACCCTTCACCTTGAATGGTGAAAGCGGGGTCCCGACTGAGGACTGAGCTGATGACCTGTTCACAAAGCAAAAATCCAGGGGATTATTCCCAGGGAAAATGACATTTCTGGCTTTCCAGCAGGGGACAGGGGCATCTCAGGGGGGAAAGGGGGAGCGTGCAAGGCACTGGCCCAGCAGCTGCACGGAGAAACCGCTGCTGCCTTTGCCCCTTCGCCTTCCCCATAACCTGCCATGCCCGGGGGCCACGGCGCGATCACTCTGGGAGTGGGCACCTACCCCGAAAAGCAGGTACCCGCACGTACAGGGTTGATTGGAGAGCCAGGGACATATCAGCTAGAAATGCTAATTGCTTCTCATTGTGGTGGGACATTAATGAGATGTTTGGTTTCTCCATTAGCAGCTGCTGGAGCATCGTATGGGTGTGCCGGGACAGTGGTGATGCTGCTCTGACCTCTCTCTTTCAGCCGGGGCTGGGGGCTGTGCCTGGATGACCCCCCTGCCCGGGAGGTGCTGGACTACCCCTTGGTGCCGCCGGGCGTCCTCTACGACGTGGGCCACCAGTGCCGGCTGCAGTACGGCGCCTACTCCACCTTTTGCGATGACATGGATGTAAGCCAGGGTCCCCCCCTGACAGAACATGGTCTTGTGTGGCTCCGAGGGGCTCTCTCGGGGTGGGGGGCTTTGCACAGGGTGATCCTCTCCCTGCAAGTTAAATTTGTGCTGCTGGGTTGGCCGGTGCAGTAACCATGTCCTGTGCAACTGTGTTTTCTGCAGAGCGTCTGCAACACGCTGTGGTGCACAGTGGGGAACACGTGCCACTCCAAACTGGACGCTGCCGTTGACGGCACGGCGTGCGGGGAGAACAAGGTAATAGGGAACAGTCCCCTCCGCAGCTGCAGAGACTCCTTGTCCTGCAGACAGGGGAGTTTCACAGGCTCCAGCACACAGGGACGGCTCGCTGCCCTCACTCTGGCCAAACACCCACCCCTGCCAGGGAGGGACTCCCTTCAGTGAAGCTGAAAATACTTTAAGAAAGTGAAACCTGCAGTTAATTACCACGGCAGGAGAGCACAAGGCTTGTTCTGCTCTCCATCTGCTGCGGTGGCAGATGCTTGCCTCCGGGACCTGTCCCGGCACAGGGGAGGCACCTCTCCCTGCTCTGCTGCACAGGGGGTCCAGCAACACCCGCAGCAGTTCAGTGGGTGCTGCGCCGGGCATGGGGTGCGGAGGGGACCAGGTGTCTGCAGCCAGCTCCGGTCACCCTTCCATGGGTGACATACCAGAACAGGGTTTTCCTGCTCAAGGTAGCATAAAACTATAGAGTTATAAAAATATCTGTAGACATCTCTCCTCGCTAGGTTTATTGTCACTTCCCAAAGCCCTGGCCCCAGAGCACTGGGGATGACCCCAGGCTTAGCCGCCACTCCCTGCGAAACCTCCCACCGTGGCTTTGTCCATGGCTATGCCTCGCTGACTCTTCCCTCTGGGCTGAGATCAGGCTATGAATCCTTTTGCTGAGGGGTCTCAGTGGAGGTTTGGGTATGTTGCCTTGGACAAATCCTCAAACAGCTCAACATCTCTGAGTTTCCCATTGCTTAGAGGTGCACCGGGCTGTGGCAGAGCTCGGCTGACCCCCAAGGCACCTCCGTGCGAGCAAAGCAAGGATTTTCATGGGGCAATATGGGAGCTGGGCTTCAGTGCTCCCCGCAGCCGGGCTCTCTGACTCAACATCAATTATTGCATCCTTAACCTTGTTTTCTCTTTTGGCCTGTCCCTTTGCAGTGGTGCTTCAACGGCGAGTGCGTGCCCGTGGGTTACCGTCCTGACGCGATCAACGGCGGCTGGGGCTCCTGGAGCTCGTGGGCTGCCTGCTCGCGCAGCTGTGGTGCGGGCGTGCAGAGCGCGGAGAGGCAGTGCAGCAGCCCCACGTGAGCAAGCCCTCACTCCCTCACCTGGACCCCGTTTAGGAGAGGAACCCAACACTTCTTATCGCCCCGTAAAGCTGGGGACCATCATATGACCAGTGTGGTCCTGCCCCTGTCTGCATTGCACGGCAAAACTGTGCCATTATGCAGTTACCTGTCTGAACAATGTGCTTTTGAAACACTCAGGGGATTCATGTCACAGGGTTATCCAGCTGGCTGGGCAGCAAAAGCCTCTGGAGGGGCAGAGTTTGCTCTGTCTCCTTCCATGGATAGGTTGCTCCCACGCCATGCAGGCAGAGAGCAATTGAATATGACTCAAACAAAGAGCAAAGACTCCACGCTTGTAGCTGTAAAACATATCCAGTGTCCTTTAATGACAGAAAAGAAGAATAGGCGTTCTCTGAGCCTGATTCAGAGTTGTTTTGAAAAATCTTGCTGCTGTTTATCACCCCATTGCTTTCCATGAGCAATTTCTGATCTGTGCCTTCCCCCAGCCTGCCAGCACCGCAGCCAGCTCTGGCTTTTGCCTGGAGGCATCTGGGCACTGATGGAGGAGCAGCCTTGTCCATCCCGTGATTTCTGGGCTGGCCCATCTGCTCCCCAGATGTCCCTTTGGTCATCAAATCGCTGTTGTATTGGATTCAGCCAGAGCCCCCAGCTTGCCCAGGTGTCAGAGTGCCCTGGGACGGGGAGAGAAAAGGGCTTTGTGAGCAATGCTCCAGTGGCAGTTGCTTTTGGGTGGCTTGAGGGGATCTGAAAGCTATGGGAGCAGGCTCTCTAATGAGCCCAGATGTGCTTTCTGCCCAGCTTCTTCCTTGGGCGCGTTGTTTTTAGCACATGCTATTGAGCTGTTTAAAGAAGTGCTGTGTAATCTCGGAGCCAGGTCAAGAGCTGGGTTTGTGTTTGACATGAGTTTTGTGGCAGAAGTGCAATTGTAGTTTATGGAGTGTTTTAAACACAGCTGCGGACAGGCAAGAGAGCAAGCACTGGAAAAGCGGGAGAATTTCCTTGGGCAGTTGTTTGCTTTGGCCACTGTAGGTAAATCTGCAGTTTTGCCTTTTGGATGGAGTGAACAAATGTGAGCACTGGGCAGTCCTCCTCCCGCAGGCATTTCCTCAGGCAGGGTATGTAAACACAACCCTAAAATAATAATTAACTTTATTCTCTTCAGCAAAGTGTGCCCAGACTTAACTGATCAGGGGAAAAGTAATTTTCATGAGGCTGTGGGGACATGGGCCGTGGAGAGTGCTGTGACCAAAGGAAAAGGCAAGCGTCAGGAGACGGTGGCAGTATTTTGAGAGTCTGTTGGCATCTGAGAAAAACCTATTGTTGCTTTTAAAGTCCCTCTTACTTTAAAATATCCAGCGACAGCTTTGCCATTCCCTTTGGAGTAGAGGAGCAGAGTTGGAAGCACATTCCAGGCGGGATGGAGAGCAGCTCCTCCAGAGCAGCCACAGAACGGGCACCTGGCTGACCTGGCTAATGGGAGCACTGGCATCTTGTCAGCCATGGTAGCTGGGATGATGGAGATGTTTTACCCCTGGGGAAGGGTGCCTGGGTGCAGCTGCAGAAGGTGGAGGGGCTTCAGACATGAACACTGGCAGTGACACCTGACTTTAATAACTATTTTTATAACATCATACACTAGGCCTATAAAACTGGCCATATTGGCAACATTGAGGAGAGACTGTCAAGAGGGACAAGACCCAAGATGTAGCTCATCCAGCTTGAGAGCCTTCGCTCAGCAAAAACTGCCTTTGGTCCACAGTCTCACCCTGTGTGGTCCTGTAAGGCAGTCTGGCAGCCGCGGCAGCAGCAGGGAGCTGGTGCAGGAGGGACTTGGAGAAGAAGGATGTGGACCACGGTTTCCACACATTTCAAAAGCTTGCTCTTGGAGTGGGGATCTTTCTGGAGCAGCTGTTGGGTTCATAGTAGCTTCCTTACATGAACATTGCAGCAGAGCAATGTGTGTGCATTATAACTAGGAGAGCTCCTGACTGACTCCAGGTGGACTCAGGCTTGACCCAACCTCATGAGATCAAACCTTAGCAGCAGGTATAAAACCACCCTCCCTTAGTTGTCAATAAAAAGGGAGTTTCCCCTCGTATGTGGTAGGTCTTTATTTGACAGGACAGAGGACAACAGGTTTAAACTGAAAGAGGGTAGATTGAGATTGGACATAAGGAAGAAACTTTTTACAATAAGGGTGCTGAGACACTGGAAGAGGTTGCCCAGAGAAGTTGTGGATGCCCCATCCCTGGAAGTGTTCAAGGTCAGTTTGGACAGGGCTTTGAGCAACCTGATCTAGTGGAAGATGTCCCTGGCAAGGGGGTTGGACTAGATGATCTTTAAGGTCCTTTCCAACTGAAACCTTTCTGTGATTCTGTGATTTTCCCTTTTCCCTCCCATGGACAGGCCGAAGTATGGGGGCAAGTACTGCCTGGGGGAGCGGAAGCGGTTCCGGATTTGCAACGTCAGACCGTGTCCCCCCGACAAGCCCTCCTTCCGCCAGGTCCAGTGCAGCCAGTTCAACCCCATGCTCTACAAAGGGAAACTCTACAGGTGGACACCGGTGCCCAACAACAGTGAGTTGAGGGCAAAGCCCGCTGCCAGGTTTCTGCCTGCAGCCCCAATGAAAATCCTGAAACACGGTCTTGCTAACAGCCTGAGTTTGCTGTTTGTGTCTGTAAGAATTGCCTTGTAGTGTGTTTATGCTGTATTTTAAATTATGGCTGGGCTTGCAGGGTTAATTTATGTTTTTGGAGATGGTTACGTGGCCCCCAGCTGCTCGGGTTTAGTTTCTGCCTGTTGGGCTCCCCAGTTAACCCCTGCGAGCTGCACTGCCGGCCAGAGGATGAATACTTTGCAGAAAAGCTGCGGGACGCCGTCATCGATGGGACGCCATGCTATGAGATGAACGCCAGCCGCGACATGTGCATCAATGGTATTTGCAAGGTGGGTCCCGCGCCGGGGCCCTGTGGGGAGGGAGCCCAAGGACCCCCTCATGCTCAGGGAAAGGCAGGTGGGCACCGTGACTTATCCCTTAGGTGAGCTCTGTCCCCCCCGTCGCATGCACCAATGGGCTGAGCTTACTTTTTTTGTCATTCACCACTCAGAAAGGCTTCTTTATTTCCGTGAGGTACACGGTATGGCCATATTTCAGCCTCTGTGCTGGCTTCAAGGAAATAGAGCACAAAAAAAGGAAATAAAGGAAGAACAGTTTCACTTGAAAATAAAGTCAGGGATATGAAAGGGTGTGTAGAGAGGACGCCCAGCCCAGGTCTGAACCCGGTGCTGGCAGCCACGGGTCTGACCTGCAGCGATGAAGATGCCTCCCCCGGCTTGGCAGCCTTTCCCAGCACTGGGATTTGTTCTTCCTTTTGGGTTGTTATTTTAATTTCTTGGAAGCTCCCCACAAATGAGCTGTGATGTGTGGCAGCATTGCTCTGGCTGCTGGCCAGAGAGGGCATCTCCCAGCACGAGAGGCACAGGAATCCATGGTAGGCGCTGTGAATCATCTGGGAGATGCTGGCATGGCTGGGGAGGCTTTGCCGAGCTGTGCCCTGGGTCCTCCAGCTGCCTTTGGTGGCAGTGAGACAGTCCCTTCATTCACACCCTCCCTTTCCCTAGGGAAGCAGTCCCGAGGTTTAGGATAGAATAAGCACACATGCAGGACGTTGGATTTCTGTTAAATTAGGGAATGGGTGGCAATCTGAGCTGCCGTGGTACCATGGTCTGTGGGGCGGATTCCCACCATGGGACATACCAAAGCCACACTGCTGCAAAGCTGATAGCCACGTGTCACCAGGGACACGTACAAGCAGGCAGGACACAGTCGGGTCTGCTGTAGTGTTAGATAAAGACACTCTCTGATAACAGGCTTTTTGGAAAAAAGGCTTTTTGGATGGCACAAAGAGCAGCAGGGAGGAGGGAAAATAATCAATCAATGAGTTTCCTTGCAGCCTCTTATATAAAAAAACATTTGTGGAAACGTCCCCCTCTCGCAGGCCGTGCTGCCGGCAGCTGCAGGCAGGGGCCTGCTGGCAACTGGAGGCTTTGGGAAGGTCCCGTTTCCTCCTGTGATAGGCTGTAAGTTACTTCAAAGGCTGTGGCGCACCGATGCACAGGCACGGGCCGGAGGGAGAGTGCAGGGGTCATGATTTTTACTTGGTGTGTACAACAGGGTGCGATCCAGCAGCTCACGGCAGATGACAGCACGTTTAGCCAGAGCTCACAGCACAAAAAATCCTCGTCACCGCTAAGACTGCTGCTGGCTGCGACACCAGAGTTAAATCTGGCTCACTGCAGACTATCACAGTAGTTAAAACAGTGCTGCTTCGGCTGTAGGTGTGTGCCAGCGGCACCTGGGCACCTCCTCGGGCAGCGAAGGCTGAAGGCTCCTTGCTGGAACAGGACCCAGCGGGACCCTTTGGGATCTTGGCTGTGGCTTTTATGGTGCAAAATCACAGGGAGGCTCTTGCTCTGCACAGGTCGAGCAATTTGGCATGAGATGTAGAGAGTTTCAGCAGAATATAAAAAAGGTTTTTGGAAAGTGTTTTGAAACAGGACTAGCAGGGCCAAGGACCAAGGGGCTTTCCCAGCTTGGCTCGGCACATAACACGTGCCAACAGGCTCTGCTGCCCAGGGACTCAAGTAGGAAAAGGTAAAAACGAGATGTGGGTCGTGATCCTCACTGCGTATGAAGAGGACAGCAGGACCATGAGGATATGTTAGAGAAACCCCTATTGCAGCCAATGTGGCTGTATTGCCACCCATCCTGCAAAAAGACTCCAGCTCACCCCTCTCTCCTCTCCATGTTCCTTACTTCCCACCATTTAGGACCAAGGCTGGTCCTCCTCTCCCTCGTTTCTCCCATGCTGGTGGCCAATGGCACGGTGTGAGGCTGGGGGCGTGCGGGGGCGCGGGTGGCTGACGGGGCTGCCTTGCAGAACGTGGGCTGCGACTACGAGATTGACTCCAACGCGGTGGAGGATCAGTGCGGCGTCTGCCACGGGGATGGCCCCCCCTGCCACACCGTCAAGAAGACCTTTGAGGACAGCGAGGGGCTGGGTAAGGGCACTCGGCTCCGTCCCCAAAACACCAGGTGCCTGTTCCACGCAGAGCTGGGCTCGCTGCTGCTGCTTGATTGCAGTGTGGTTTTTAATCCCGACTTGTCGATTTTGACGGGATAAGATCTGAGCGGCAGCACAGGGAGATGTGGCATTGGCGTTCCACTTCTTGCTCCTTGGAAGAAAAATCCCCTTACTGCTCTTTGTGTCTAAAGGCCTGAAAACAAATCTGTGCACGCTGGAGCCAGTTTGGAGAGGTTTAAGGGGATTTTGTGGGTTGACAAGGACATGTTGAAAGTGTGGTAAATGCCTCGCCAGCACCTGTGTGGGAAATGTCTCGCTCTGCGATGGGCTCTCCCAGCAGGGAACACAGCTGGGCTCAGTGCAAGGTGGGGTTTGGTGCCTGCTGGTGCCTTACAGAGGTGTAAGGATTGGCATGATGCTGGCACCCAAGGGACGCTAGCACCCACCCAAGGGCGCGGATCATCTCTGCCACGTCTTTGAGTTCCCCAAGACCAATGCTCGGTTCCATTCCCAGGTTACGTTGATATCGGGATTATCCCCGTGGGAGCCCGGGAGATCCGGATTGAAGAAGTTGCAGAAGCTGGGAATTTTCTGGCACTGCGGAGCGAGGACCCGGAGAAGTATTTCCTGAATGGCGGCTGGACCATCCAGTGGAACTAGCGGGGACCACCTTCACCTACAAGAGGACAGGGAACTGGGAGAACCTCACCTCCCCGGGGCCCACCGTGGAGCCCGTGTGGATCCAGGTACGGTCCGGGCTCTGCTGGTGCTCGGGGTGTGCGGCAGGGAGGACGGGGGGGACAGAGCCACCGGCTCTCCTGCCTTCCCGTGCAGGGCTGAGCTGCCATGATCCATCACTGCACTTCACTGCCGTCCAAGGGATGGGGCAGTGCATCTCCTCGCTGAGCCTATTTCTCCGGGAGCCAATGTCGGGAGCAGCCAAACACACGCTGCTGGCCCGGGGAGCATTTTCAGCCCATACTGCTTCCAGCTGAGCCTTGTCCCCTTTGCAGCATTCCTCAAAATATTTACACAGCAGAGAGAGCATGAGGAGAAAGACCCCCTTTCCTGAGGCCTTTCCCATATCTTATCAAGAGCAGG